GTATTGGCGATGATGCTTTGCAGGTCGCACTCGGACACCGCCCCCTGCAGTAAAGTATGCGGCGTCAAAATCGGTAAGATTGTTGGCAGACAACACCCTGATAACGGACCGCCCCATCATCCGAAGCAATTGCGCCGCCATTCGATTGGCGCCGCGCAACTCAAAATGGGCGGCGAGGCAAGAACGGCCGATAACCTGCGAGAGGGATGAACGAGCAAGACAGCCAGTCAGCATATATCCGCCCCCTGTGGGATGGCGCCCGCACAGGGCACTTGGCCGCGGGGCGCCCCACCGAGACGCGCGCGCCTTGAGCGCGCAGAGAGGTGAGACAAGATGACCACTGCGGGCGTCTCCACCGGCCTGGCCCGAGACGCCTTCCACGCCAGAAAATATGACCACCGCGACGCATTGTCTCATATTGGCGTTGGTCGGACACGCTATGGCAAGGCACGCGCCCCCTCTTGCCCTGGCACCGAACGGGCGAGTCGGACGACGAAGACGACGGCGGAAACCAACCCGATTAAGCTGCCAGAGCGCACAATTTAACGCGCGGGCGCCGCGGCATGCGGAGGGGGGCCTCGCAACGGATCCCCCCGGCGCGCCGGAGGCGCGTTATGCCGTTCCTTCGACGCGACAGAGATGGCGCCGACGGCGGTTTCAAGGCGCCCTGCCCGCGCGCGCTGCAACCGCGTGGGCGCCGGCGCGCGAGCGAACGCCTCATCAAGCGCCCCCAGGGGCGCCAGACGCGCCTCATCCTGCCCCGCGCACAGGCGAAGGGCGGCGACGACGATGGCGACGACCTTTGGGAGACAGCGCGCGCGAAGCCATAACTGCCCAGTTTCATCCACGCGGCCCTGGCCCCCCGAACGCATAGAAGGGCGCTACGGGGATCGTGCGAAACCTCTGGGCCCCCCTGCAAATTCTTGGACGGGGCGGCCCCAGGGGGCCCTAAGAGGGCCCCAGACTGGGCCACTGCGCAGTGGCAACGCAACAAATTCATGGTAAATTCCTCAAAAGTTCGCGAGCGGCCCCGCGTTCGCCCCTGAGGGCGCTCCTGCAAAGGCCCTCGAGAGGTCCCCGAGAAGCTCGTTCGGGGCGCGGCGACCCTGAACTTCCGATGGTCCAAATGAATGAAGATCCTCGATCGTTCACGCGTCGGGTCGCGACGATCGAGGACGTCCTCGGTCGTGATCGAGGATCTTTGGGTCCTCGATGAGGGATCGGGGACCCCTCATCGTGGACACTGTAACTCATGTGCATGCTTGGCTCGACAGCGCCAACTATCGCGTGCACCTGTGTACGCGCAACATCTAGGTGCACATATGTTCATGCGTTCGTGCGTTTATGCGTTATGGTATTCACGTCGAATACACAAGAGCGCACGCACGTGTGCGTATACGCCCACCAATGCATATAATGCAGTAGGCCCACCTGGCTACCCTGCCTGATTGCGAGTCAGAGACGCCATGGGTGTTCGCCGGGATGTCGCGGGGGGGCTTCCAGGGGCTTGTTGGAGACAACTTCAATGCCTAATTATTGAGGGGCAGCTTTCGGGCCCCGCTGGGGCTTTATTGCGTGGGCGCTGGGGGCCTCCTGGGGGCCCATTGGGAGCCTTTGGGGGCCTTCTGGAAGCCTTTGGGGGCTTCGCGGGGCCTTCCGACACTTCGGGGCCCTTTAGGCGGGGCTCGCGGGGGGCCTCCTCCGCGCGGAAAGCCCCGTCTTTTTTTGATCCTCGTAGAAGGACGAGGATTGGAAGACGATGGGGGATCGAGGCCGAGTCCCCGGCGCGCAATGCCGAACCAGAGCCTCCACGGGGCCTCGCCGCGAGGCTTGAGGTTGGCGGCGGAGTAGGAATTATATGTCATGGAAAACAACGGGGCCAGAGCAACCCGCGCGGCCCCGCCCCTATCCTACCTCCGCTCTCTGCCTCGGCGAGTGGCGCTCCGCCGCCGCCGCGGGCTTCGCCGTCCGAGCTCGACCCCTTTCCTATCGCGCGCGAACGAGACCCGACTGACAGGGGGGAACTTTCGCTGGATATTCGGCGACGTTTCGCTGGCAACATCGGAAAGGAGGGGCGGGGCGGCGCGCGCGGGGGGCTCCTGGGTCATGGGCCCCGCGGGCCCCAAATCGGATGCCGTCGAGTCACGGGGCCGCGACTTCCGCGGCTCTGGGGCCTAGGGCGCCCGAGCCTTCGGGCACTCGAGTCCGGGCGCGCAAACCCTTCGGCTCTGCCGTCGCGGGCCCGCGAATCTTGAGCCCCAGAATCATGGGCCGAGGGCCGCGGGGCCCGGCGGCGAGGCGGGCGGGGCGCCCCGGGCTCCGCGCCGAAGAGCTCGCGACTCGCGGGCCCGATGGTTCAAAGCCGATCGCGCCTAGGCCGCGCAATCGAGGGCCCGCGAGCTCCTGGGCCGCGGAGAAACTTGCCCATGGACTCCCGCGCCGTCGCGGCAACGGCGCATGGCAGCTTGGACTTTCCAGCGGCGCCCCCCTGCAACTTCCCTGCTATCTCGCGCGCCCAACTGCCGGGGGCGCCCCGCCCGCGCGCGACGCCGGCGCCGGCGGCTTCCAAGAGCGCGCAGATGACCGCCGCCACGGCCCCGCGACGCGCCCGGTCCCGAGCGCGCCCCGGAGCGCCGGCGGGGAAAGTGCGAGGGCCCCGCGGCCCCGCTCGACAGCGGGGGGCGCATGGGCGAACGCGCCGCATCGCGCCGGCGCCTGGGCCCAGGAGATGGGCCACGGAGCGCCCCGGACCCCCCGCCGCAGATCGCAGCGATAATGGGCCTCTCTGCAGGGGCGCAGTTATTAATTCGCGGCGATGATCGTCGCTGCGGGGGGGTGGGGGTGGGGCGGGGGGGGGCGCGGCGCAACGCCCCCCCCCCCCCGCCCTCCCCGCCGCGGCGCCGCGCGCCGCGGCAATGCCGGGTGCTCGCCGGGGGGGGGGGGCACAGGAAGCTTCGCGGGGCGGGGAACCTCGGCGGGCATCCAGGCCTCGGGCGCGCGCAACCTCGGCGCGGCGGCGCAGTGGGCCAGAGGCCGCTGGGGCCGCGGCCCCCTGTGGATGTCGCGCGGCTGAAATCATTCATCGGTCTCCGCGCGGCTCCTGGCGGGCTCGCAGACGACCGCTCCTGCCCTGAGGGAGAAGCACTCCAGTGGTTATCGGGGCTCCGCAATGGCCCGGTCGGCCCCCCCGCTCCAGGCGGCCCCGGGATGGCCTCCAAGACGGCCGAGAGTGATGGTCTCCCAGACGGCCGCGATAACCTCAGGGGGGCCAAACGCGGCCCCGAGGCGTCTCCAGGACGGGCCGATCCACCCCCGATATGGCTTCGAAGCCGCGCGGCCCAAATCGCCTGCAAGCCGGCCCAAGAGGCCCCCGCGCAGACCGCCAAGGCAGCCCAGGTCGAAAGTCCATTTCCTGGCGCGTCATGCATCGGACGGGTGCAAATCAGATGGGCACGACAAAATTCGGCCTCGCAGATGGCCGGCGCGGCGAGCACGCGGGCGCGCGTGCCTCGCAATCCCAAATTGCAGCGGCATGGCGTTCAATCCCGCGCGTCCACAAATGTCCCTTGAAGATAACATCGGCAGAAGCAGGCGTAATATCACGGCCTTCGCACCAACGACAGCGCCGGCTGGCAGCAAGATAGCAGCAAACGCAAGTGAACGGCAGCAGCAGCCTTGAGCGCACGCAGCTCAAAGATCCGAGCGGCACGGCACCAACGCGAAGACTACGTATTGGAATTACAATTAGGAGCGCAAACAAGCGAAGCCCGTGCTCAACCGACGTGGATCATAGCTCTCCCGCAGCGGCCAGCAACGAGAGATGCTCTCGCCGATGAACTGGCACCTCTTTGTGTACGAAAGCTAACAACTATTCCGCCCTCAAAAGACAGCGCATGCCTAGGCCGCATGCAGATCGGCAGACGACAGTCCAACCATACCGAAACAATGGGAAATGCTGCATGTAGGTGCTGTTGAAAAGCCGCGAGCATCTTTCGACGCTGTCAGCATGTCGCGCGGGCTCCGTGCGCCAACGATCTACACCTGAACGGAACAAACATGTCGACCTCATGTAACAACTCTTGACTGTAATCCTACGTTTTGCATGTCAAACTTCAACCATGCCAGGTGTGTCGCACCACTGTGCACTGTGTACTACGCCATCGTCCATCACTTCACGTATCCAAGTAGTATGGCCATGTACTGTACGTTCGGTTAATGCCTGTGGATAATTACATACGAAGGATGTATATGAAGATCCTGCGCCCATGGTCAATGGAACCTCGATGGGTCGACCTTCCTGCCTCTCGCACAAGTAGGAGGGTTTTTTTGTGTCAAAAGGCCTAACGCGAGCTAGTCTATAATGATCGGAAAACACTTGTCCAACATGTGTGCTGCGGCTGGCGCCTCGGCAGGGGATCTGGATCGAGTTTGTAAACTATGAGTTTATCAACCGTTTACAACATATACCACGGGCGCGTGTTTAGACGACCTTCCCCGTCTTCTGTCCTCGTCGTCTCCTTCGCCGCTTCTATAAACCGAATCGCTCTGTATGTATACCTCCCTGGTTGATTTCATGTCAAAGAAACACAGTGGCACTTGGGTCGCTGAGGGGGGTCCTCGTTGCAACGTTGGGCCTCGTAACTCGTCAGTTGATGGGTTCCTGCGACCGCTGTAAGGATATAACGTACACCATCAAGCACACTGGGGCAAATAAGACATGGACTAAAAATTACTCGTGAGCTGATAACATGCCAAATGCGGCTTCCGATGATTTACTGCCCCAGCTACATACCAGCGAAATCTGGGATAATCGACGACAACCGAAGTCGACTTAGTGTTGAGCGGGGCCAAGCAGTACACGACCAGTTCGCGTGAGTAAACAACTGCGTGCGCACATAATGTGTAAGGCAAGCCGCAAGTGAGGCACCGAGACCACAAGTGGAGAAAAACTCGCACAACTGCCACTTCACAACGAGTCCTTCGCCCTCCCCTGGCGCGTCCTCTCCCGTAGCCGCTGGCGGGGCAGCGCTGGCGCCCCTGACGAGTGGCGAACCAGCAGGCCTTGCCACGGGCACGTCGCCTGGCGGCGAATCGCTGGGCCCTCTCACGGGGGCGCCCTGCTGGCCATCGGGCCTCGCTTGGGGCGAACGGCCAGGCGGCGAACCGCTGGGTGCCGCGCCCAAGGGCCCCACGCCAGCGCCAGCGCCGCCCCCAGCGCCCGCCGCACCGACGATGCCCACTGGAGGAGCCGCCGGACCGTCGCCGCCCCTGGCGCCCCTTATCCCCCTGATCCTGGCGTAGACCTCGTCCCTGAACTCGCCGACGCGCTCCTTGGACTCACCGCTCGAGGCCTTCACGAAGAGAGCCCGGGCAACGCGCAGCGTTGCCGCTTCAGTGAGGCAGCACCCGAGCGTCGCCTGAAAGGAGTGCGGGCCGACCCTGAACTTACTCCTCTTGCCTGCGCTATCCAAAACCACCCTCTCCCAAGCAGCATGCCCAGCTGGAGCGTCCTCGGGTAGGACAGCCTCGAGCGCCTCGAGCGCCTCTGGCCCGAGAGTCTCAAGCGGGGCCGCCGCCTTCATGCCCGGCTATCTACCACGACAGCACGCGCGCGCGGCAAAGATGACGAGCAGTCCCGCGTCGGCCTCCACGGGCTTTTGGTCAAATGACGGCTACATGTGAAGATGACGTAGACGAGTCACACCGACCACGAAAGAAGGAACTCGCTGGCCCCACGGGCTAGCGCTTCTCCCCGCCGTCCACCAGCCCTCGCCCCCTGGCCACCCTCGTCCTCGTCCTCGCCCTCCCTCTTCTACGATCCACTAGGGGATGCCAACATTCCATCAACACCGGTCCTTGGCAGGCCGATCCCGGACCCAAGACGACGGGATGTGGACTTCGCCCGGGCGATCTTCTGCTAATTCGTGATTAAGTATTGGGCTTGAACCCGTGATCGCATTTACCAACATCGGTGTGCTGTGAAAATGGCGACCGCCCGACCGGCCTGATGCGGGAACGCAGCGTCCTGCAACATCACGAAGATTCGTGCCAATTTTTCCAGGTCGGATCGATCCGTGAAGGCCTCCCCCCCACAGCACCCGACAACGACAGGAAAAGGGCTCGCGGTGACGTTGTCACGACGTCCGAAATGCAAAGGCCCGCCCAACAAGAACCCGCCCCGAATCTGCCCCTGGGCCCTTTGTAGGGCACCGCCCAGGGGCCGTTTTTTGAGACGCGCCCCGCCGCGGCGAGGAGGGGGGCACAAATACCGAAGTACCCCAGAAGAGACAGCAACAACATCAAAGCCTGGACAACACACGTCGGAAGACCGCGCGGGTTCCTTGGATCGGCGCTGGGCGCACCCCCACCATACCCCTTGCGCCGCCTCTGGCGCCGCCTCCGGCGCGCGCCAGGGTCGGTGTGTGTGTGTGTGTGCCTCAGCATAGTTGCGTCTACACATCGCTCCTCCCCGCCATCCAGGCCAGGATGGTTATGGCTGCTGCCAGCTGCGAGACCCTGGGCGGTCTCGGAGAGCCCGGCCAGGCGAAGACGCGCGTGCTCTGCTGCCTGCACTCGACTTTCTACGACACGTAGCCGCGCGCGGGGCCGCGACGCCAAACAAGTGTGTGCGTATGTTGTGTTGTGTTGTGTTGTGTTGTATTGTGTTGTGTTGTGTTGTGTTGTGTTGTGTTGTGTGTTGTGTGTTGTGTGTTGTGTGTTGTGTTGTGTGTTGTGTGCTGTGTGTTGTGTGTTGTGTGTTGTGTGTGTGTGTTGTGTGCTGTGTTGCGTTGCGTTATAGTGTGCTATGTTGTGTTGTGTTGTGTTGTGTGTTGTGTTGTGTTGTGGTGTGTTGTGTGTGTGTGTGCGTGGGGGGTCCCACGGTCCCACGCCGACGCGAGAAATCTGCGCGGCTCTTCGAAAGTTGTTCAAGTCAACTCAAATATGTTGCCCTTCTGCTTCCTCACGGGGTGCCTTTCCTGTCCTTCTCGGGCGCTGTCCCCAATCTCGGCGGCGCGCCCAAAGGGAAGTGAGAAGAGGTGGGCCTTCTCAGAAGGATCGGAAAACCTTGGGCATTTTGAGACAGGTTCTAAGCCTTCCCCGAAGACACGGAACACTGCTCAGATTGCTGGAGGGCTTCTCAGAAGCCCCGCCCGACCTTCTGAGCCTCATCCTTCTCACTTCTCCCCCCCGCTCGCCGCCGATAATCGGGAGCAGTCAGCGAGAAAGGTGACGAACAGGTGCCCCTGTCGGGCACCATCGGAGGAGCCCCAGGGTGCATCTTCCCCGGGGCCCCAGGGGGTCCCTTCCCTGCAGCCATCGCCCCCGCCCCCCCGCACCCAACGCATCGCCCACCCCCCACTCTCCATCCCGAGGTGTCCGACTATCTGCTGGCCCCGCCCTGCCGCAGAGAGCAGGCGGGGCCAGCACGACCCGACTCCCGTCGGGCGCTGCTTGATTAACCAGGGGGGGCGATACGGTCGGGGAGGGGGGACGCTTGCACCTTTCGTGCCCCTTGTTCGCCCCAGGGGTTCCATTCAGGGCATACTAGGTGCACTGTTGTTCCCCTCAATTAGCATCGCCCCCCCCCCCCTATGACGCAACGCCCGACCCCTCTTGGCGCTGGACAAACCTCCCTTTAATAAACCTCCCCTTAACGAATACGGCCCAGGACCGAAACCGACGGACCCAGAACCGCAAAAACGACGGCCGCGACGCCCTCTCGCGAACCAAAAACAGCCAATTTCTTACAGTCAACCAGTATAGTAAGGATGCGCGATGACGATGCAAGGGCCTTGGACGCCCATTTGGAAGCTTTTCGAGCGGGGCGCGGCAAGCGAAAGCGAAGGGACCGAGGAGGCGAGGATACAAGGGCACCCTTGGGAAGGTTGCCCATCCTTACTATCATGCTTGACCGTAATCGACGTGTCAGGGTAGGAAATCTGTCAACCTCCGACCCTCGAACTGGCAAACGTCGGCCGGGAGGTGGCCACGGCACCGCACCCGCAGGCGTCGGGAGCGCCGGGCCGGGAGGGCTCGGCGGCGGGCACGCGCGCGGTCGCCCGCGTGCGGCGGGGGGGTGTCAGCTGCTCGTGCTGGCGGCTCTCCTGGAGCCACTCGCTCCACTCACGCGTCGATGCTGCGTGAACGCCCGTCGGCCCGAGTCGAACTTGAGTCGGACTGGAGTCGAGCTAGAGCAGCTAGAGTCGCCCAGATCTGTCAGGTTGGCCTCGTGAGCATCGCTTCACCGATCCCCGTCCCCACTGGCGTGGCCTGGGCCCCACTGGCCGATTTACCCCCCAAGATGAGGATGTAAGGTGCTCACTTCGGATGTCGAGGCATCCCCAGCTGGGGCAGTGGGATGGTGGGGCCCGGGATGGGGACGGGGACATGCCTCGGCCAAACGGTACTGACCTCAGGGAGGTCCCCCCGAACGAGCAACTAACGGGCGGCGGGGAGGAGGGCCTCCATCTCGGGCTGCGGGCGTGGGGCATCCTACGCCCGCCGCGCCAAGGCCTCGGAGACGCCTGCGGCGGAACCGATGGGAGCCACCTCGCTTGGGCTGCCGCGCTGCCAAACGAAACGGTTCTTCTGGCCACGGCGAACCTCTGTCACGAATCGGTTCCCTGGCCTAACTTTCAGTGGCTTCCCCAAGCTGTCCCCCTGAGCCCAAAATGGTATTATTTTCAGCACATTGATCGTACTGGCGGGTGCGGTCAAAGTCGGAACCGGACGCGGGGGCGAGAAAACAGGTCGCAAGGCATCTTGAAAATGCATGAGGATGCCGTGCACTAGCATGAGGGAAGCGGGTCCTCTGGTAGAAAGGCTATGAAATCTTCGTTGCGTTTCGGGCCCCTGGGGCCCCCCACGGGCCCCAGGACAATAATCCTCCGGCCCCCTTGTGGGGCCACCAGGCTGTAGGACGAAGTGTGCGGCTCCCTGTACCAGTTGCAATTTCAGGTCTCCAATGTTACACTCCTGCGTTGTGCTTCCGACTATAAATTGTTGAAGTCCGCGCGAGGGGGGGAGCCCCAAACCACTCGGTTACCACGCTCGGATCGCGTTGTCTGAATTCTCGGGGGGGCGTGGGACACGCCAAGATACGTGAGATTCGCGCCTCCGAGGCCACAACCCCCTTGTAAATTATACAATTGCTGCGTCCCCGAGGCAGTAAACCCGCGTAAATTATACCATAGTCGCTTCCCCGAAGCCATAAAGCATCGTCAAGGCTCTCAAAACAATCGAAGAGGCCTCCACGACGCCCCAAGAGCGCTCCAAGACGCCCAAGATGCCCCCCAGACGGCACCGTCGTGAATACTCAGGCGCGGGACACGCACACACAGGCACACACACACACACACGTACATACACGCACGAGGCTCGCAAGAGGCCCCAAGAGCGCTCTCAGAGGACTCCCGAGAGAGCCCCGCATCGTCGATGATGCAATAGTTTTCGAAGGATTTTTGCCTTTTCGCATTTTCGGCTTTCCGACGCTCCAAGACGGCTCAAGAAGCCCCCAAGACCGCCCGAAGACAGCCCAAGAAGGCTCTAAGAGGGCCCAAAGACGGCCCAAGGGGGCTCTAAGATTTTCCAAAAGGCGCTCAAAACGGCCCAAGAAGGCCAGACGGCCCCAAGAAGGGGACCACGAACCGACAATTCGATACCTGTGCGCCCAGAGGCCCCCAGGAGGCCGCCAAGAGGCCCCAAGAGGCCCCAAGAGGCGCCCAAGAGGCCCCCACGAAGCCCTAAAGACCCCCAAGAGGCGCACAAAACGCCTCCAAGAGGCCCCTGAGAAGCTTCCCACGACACCCTTACACGTATAAAAGAGGCCTCTGATCCACAAACCATTCTTGGGCGAACTTGGAGGTATCTTGGACTCTCTTGGGCCGTCTTGGAGGCCGTGTTGGACCATCTTGGGCGGACTTGAGGCCATCTTGGACCATCTTGGAGGCCATCTTGGGCCAATGTGGCCATCTTGGAGGCCATCTTGAGCCGTCTTTGAGGATTTTTGGTAGATTGAGATTCATTTCGGGTGGCCAGCGGGACGGACCGAAGCCCCAAGGGGAGTTCTTTCGGAGAAAGAGCCAAAACCAAAACCGAAAGGGTCTAGCATGCCAGGAACCCTGTGGCGAGCCAACAGACCCAAGAGGCCTCCAAGAGGTCCTCCAGGAGGACCCGAAGAGGCCAAAATCATGGATGTTCCATCGGTTTTGAAGGATGTTGGCATGGGTTTCTTCCCGGCATTCCGACGGCTCAAGACGGCCCAAGAGGCCCCCAAGATCGCCCACGAGGCCTCCAAGATGGCCCCATGACGGCCCAAGAGGCCCCCAAGACGACCCCAAGAAGGGCCCAAGACGGGCCACGAGGCCTCCAAAACGCCCAGGAATGCTCTGAGGCCCCCGAGAAGTACCCAAGGGCCCCTAACAGGCCCAAAGAGGCCCCACAGATGCCTCCAAGAGGCTCCCAGGAAGCTCACAGGAGGCGCCAAGAGTGCTCCCAGAGGCTCCCGAGATGCCCCCTCCTTCTCCTCCTCCTCCTCCTCCTCCTCTTCCTCCTTCTCTTTCTCCTTTCCTCCTCTCCTCCTCCTTCTGCTCCTCCGTCTCCTCCTCCTCCTCCTTCTCCTCACCCTCCTCCTCCTGATCTTCCCCGCCATCCTCCCCCAAGTGTTCCCCGAAGG